TGCCAGCCTCAAGAAAATCCTCTGGGACCGGCAAAAAGCACTCTTTGCCTGAAGCACCTCCAGTGCCGTCAGACGTCGCCGCCCCCTTTTCTTGGAGGTCGGCGGCACGGCGTCAGCCCTTAAATAATAGTATCTTGCCCTATGTGCGGGGGACCAAGGTATCCCTATGACAACACTGCTCATTTGCACGCTGAGGATGGGGCCACTCCCCAAAAGCTTCCGCTGACACGCTCTGCCTTTGCGTTCGAACCTCATGCATCGCGATGCGGGGAAGCGAAATGCGTGGTCGTACTTCTGTGCGGACTGTGCTTGAGCTTTTCGACAGGCCACGCTCAAAACGGTGTTGCAATAGAAAGTCAAGGTGGGGTCCAGTGCTTGGAGGGAAGTCAAAACAGCCATCTGCAATCCCTGTCATGCCTTCGGCGGAGGTGGCAGTGGCACGAACTCGGGCTCCTCAGTCTCGTCTTCTTCCGTGTCCTCAGGGTGCGTGTATAGAGCTGTCTGTGGATAACGGGCGAACAGGATCTGCATCACTAAGTGGACGAGGCGCCGCAAGGGATGATTGGCCTGCTTCAGTGATTCCTGTTCTATGATGGACCATGAGCCCATGCTTCTTGTACTGCACATTGCACGCGTTAAGCTAAGCCTCTGCATCGGAGCTACATACAGCAAAATAAACAAGGTCATGTTAGCTTCACTATGAGACAATGTCAAAAACATTCAAAAACCATACTGCCACAGTACCCTTCAAAATTCCTAGAGCGATGGACAGTACCCTTTGGTGTGGCAACCGGACCTAAACTGAGCCCTCTAGGGGACTCAAAGTCGACATTTTTGCCAGCTTCAGAGAGGTCAGAGAGGCAAATCTCCAATCCTTTTTCTAAGACCCCATCAAGTTACCACAACTCCTGCACGGCTTACATCCATCTAGAAAGTCGCCACTGATACTGGGAGCCCGACCGTGTCTGCCATGGCCAAAGGGGCACAATGGCCAGGGTAAGGGTATCGTGCAAAGCTCTACCAGGACAGCTTGAATGCTGACTAGTGCGGAGGCTGCAAAGTCGAACGCAACTGCCAGTAGTCATCCATGCTACAACGGACACAAAACGAGGGGCAGACCTTCCTCTGTGTGCTACAGCCTGGTGTTCGGACAATTGGGTTGGCCATCTGGCGAGAAGACTTTGTATGCGACATGGTGTGCGGTGAGCACGAACAATTCATACAATACCCGGTTCGAGAGGCTCACGGCTATGAACCATCTGCATGTATCTGCATCTTCTAGCATGCTTCATCAATTCAGAAACTCGGCTGCTGCAGGCATCTGAAGCTTGCCCTGGCCTCCACATTTGAGATCCCTTGCAGCAGGAAGTTAAGCAAGTTCGAAAACTGGCTTGTGCGTCTTGCGGCACTGCCAACCAAGGAAAACTGGGAAAACATCAGCGAATTCGCGAAAGTAAATGACACCGAGACCACATCTATCCTAGACGATCTCGTCAACGCGGCAATCTGAACGTACCAGTAACTGAGAAAACGCTAATGAAGCACAGCTCGAGATCGCCAACAGCGTCTTTGCAGGAGGGAAAATATGGCCTTAACAGCCTAGCGACTAGATTTCACCCCTTGCGGCAATCTTTGGTCAGCAGATCGCCTTATATGGACCATATGTAGATGCCAACTTGCAAGGGCGAAACCAGGGGGCATGCAGAAAAATCGACAGTAGGGCATGGTGGCCTGAGGGACTGCGATCAAGAGCACTTTGCAACTTCATCGCGGAGCAAGCTACACAGAGCCAGGATTGTGCCCAGCATCCTCTTGCCGCGGCAATCTTTGATTCCTTAATAGCTTCAGTAAACACATATGATACAAGTTTCTGCAATCATTTGCACAGATTTGCGTATCAGTTTGTGGACCTTCATGTTGAGCACATTGCATCGGTCGACTGATCCAGAACGCAAAATCATTGATTGCCACATGCGTTCAAGTTCTGTTGCCATTTTCAGGCTCAACTGGCGACAGTCCCCTTCTGCAGCTGCAATGGGAGAGCCGACCTGGTGCGCACGGAGCTGATCTAGCGGCTCAGTGACAGGACATGATGAGACCGGCTTACGACTCTGCGCGTTGCTTAGCGAGCTGAGCCAGAAACTCTATCGTTTGCCGCAGCTTCAGCAAAGTATCCGCGTCGGGCGTGTCTTGCACTTCCTGACGCATGCAAGTGACACAGTGATTTCAACCTGAAGCTGGGATAGACAGCATCATTTTGGGGCACTGGATGATACAGCTAGATGCTATGCCCACAAGCATGTAGCCCTCAATGCCACCGCTCCTGAGCGGACATGGGGGGATGCACGATGATCTCAACCTGAACAGATGGCACTCTGGCTCGAAGGAGTTCGGTCACATTGCCGTACTCGTTGGAATGCTGCAGATTCACAGGCAGAGTCAAAGCAGCGGCAGTGTTTTTTTAATGCTAACTACATATAACCACCAGTCAACAAGACGCGTGTATGCCAGAGTGGTCAGCAATCCGCACCGGTGTGGTTTCAGTGTGCTGGTGCAGCGGGCTTTCTAGGGCACACGCCCCAGGACGGCTGTGGTAGAGCAGATACTCCTGCCGCTTCTGTGCCTATGTCCCGCAAAACGCTCCAGCGCTTAAAGTATCATTAACATTCATCAACAGCAGCAACTTCAAGCACGAACGCGATGCATGGAAATCTAGTACGCAGACACGACAGGAGGAAATTACAAAGGGACACAACATGAGGGTGGAACACGAGACACAGCCCAAGACACGACGAACAAGCAAGGTACAAAACGACACAACATGATACAGCGTTAAACCTTCGAAACTTCAGAAGAAACTGGGTCTAGAAGGCAACGCCAGCTACCAAACCTACCAAGACCCCTGACCACCCCATCCCGGGGGAAACACACTTTCGCAGCACAAGACCCCAATAGACCCGATTTGCAGCAAATCTCCACCAACGCGCCTCCAACCCATCCACTCATCACCCCCCAGACTTCCCAGACCTACCGAAACAATTCGTACTGTTCTTGATTTCAGCTTGAGCCCTCGGCTTCCAGCTGACAGTCATTTGGAACAAGCAGCCATGCTGCAGTCTGTCCACAGACCCCTCCCCCCAACCCTACTTCGAGACAACTTCATATCGCACACCCCGACCTTTGCAAGACGTCGACTTTGCTGAGTTGCGTCTCTAGCCGAGTACTGCAACGACTGCGATGAGGCTTTCCAATTATTGAACGTAAGGAGTCCTTCTTGCTGGGCATCATGCGGCCAGTTCCCAGAATGGTCACTGGGATGATAGGAACCTTTGCCCTCTTGGCCATCGAGACGGGGCCTAAGCAGGAAGTAGGGCGTAGGGTCGAAGGTTTGCCTATGCTTTTAGGCAGCTGGTAGAAGGGTTGTAAGGAGCATGCCCCACTGATGCAGCTTGTGATGGTCGTGTCTTAAGATAACTTGCACCAGACAAAAAGATCTCCCATAAAGGGCGCCAAGACAGCTCAAAATCAAGATGATCTGTGTAGAAGCTTCGCAGGTGTGTGAGGCTCGCATCTGCATGTACTCTATGCCAGCCACAAAAAGGACATGAAATGTGAAAAAACCTGCTGACTGAGTCTGTCCGACAACGGTCAGCCCAAAGGTCACCCCGATGAGCTTCCCTCCTCTCTTCCCTCGCACTTGGGCCCTAAAACCCTATTATTCGGGTCCTATATATACCCCTATATAGTCCCACTATATCCCTAGATATTCCCCCTATAACCCCTTTAAAGAAGCCCTTTTTCTGCTTTTCTGGCTCCCTGCGCAAGAGCCACCTGAAGCCTCAGAGCCGCTGAGACCGAGGCCCTTCTTAAACTTCAGGAGAGCTCCATCCGCGCTGCGTGTGCCCTTTGCGCAAGATGGGAAAATGATTTAGAGTTTTTCTGGGGTTATGCATAGGGCATACTGGAAAAGAAAATAGAAACTACTATAGTAGATTGGTGTTTCTATTGGGAAATTAGACTTGTGCGCGAAGTTAAGGGATATAGATATTCTGTAATTATATGAGTCACATGAAAACGGTGAAGAAAATCTTGCGAGTCCGTGCATTCCGAAGGTTTTGATTGCAGGTCGAATGCAAGAAACTCGCACAGACTTACTTGCGGAGCCTCACTCAAGCCTGCTAGAACTGCTGCTTCAGCAGCTGCGGGCCTCTGGGAAGATGAAGATGGATGTGCCCTGACAGCATATGAGCTTGTAGAAGTGCACAGCCAGACATCTACACAAGTAACAGTGAACAAGGATTCAGCTTGCGAAGTGACAAGTATCATGAGTATCCATGCCTCCTGCAAGGTGCTTATGCATCGCCGGAAGGCTTCCATCTGCGACCTGGCATGCCGCCATTTGCTGAACCAATCACTTGCGAATGCTAGTTTTTGAGTGTCATAAGCACTTGTCTAGTGACGCCTTTCTGATATCTGTATGCAATTTGAAGCCATCACAAGATCTAGCCTTTCAAGCTGCTAGACTAGCCTTTCAAGCTTCTAGAAGATCATGGAAAGAGACAGCTTTGAAAAGGCCACAGACTGCACTGCTTCTTCCGTCGTTCCGTATTAGCAGGCCTGGCAACTGGAAATCCTGTGACCCTTTCAGCAACCTTGAAGCTGGAGCCTAAGCCCTAAACCCTTAAACCCTTCCCTACAGCAGCTCTGAATCTTGCTGCCGGTTCACAGGGAATGACGGGTTACATAATGACTATATAAGGGTTATATATGATACTGGGATTAAGGGTCTCTACGAGGGGTCCCTCCTAAAGTCCCTTGAACCCCCTGAACCCTAAACTCTAAACCCTAAACCAATGAACCCTAAACCCTAAACCCTAATAAACCTAAATCAATGGCATCCCGGCCTTCGGTCCTCCCTTTCGATTGTGATGGTGTTGGCCCTCTTCATGGCCCAGCCGATCACAGGGATCTTCAAGATGGAGGCTTTCGAGACCCACTTGAAGGGCTTGTTCCTCTTGGCGGGTTTAGGTTTGGGCAGAATAGTAGTAATAACAATGATGATAAGAATACTAATGTTATTAATAACAAGAACAATAGGTATAATCAAAATAGTAGTAGTAGTAGTGGTAGTA